CTCTTTTCTTAGCCCAATTTCATAGTTCTACAAGTTCCTCTCTTTGCTACATGACACATAAGCATTAGCGCCTCTGCTTCTTTCCATTTCCTGCGCCTCTTCCATCCACCCGTTCTAGGCCTTTGGTTGCTACTGAGCAAAATTGGAGAGCTTTAGTCCTTTGGTTAGCTTGATTTCTGCGGTTTGGATAAATCATAATCATGAGATTCTTTACCACTTGATGCTTGTAGAGGTGCTCGAGTTAATGAGTCGGGCTTGAGCTTGGCTGTTATGAGCTTTTAACTAATTGAACTAGAGCTTGAGTTGAGTGCTTTGATTTACAAGTCGAGTATGTAAAAAACTCAGCTTAATTGCATTCCTATTTTTACATGTTAATTTTAATGCAAACCATTTTATGATTTTATCGATGTTTTTATTTCCGTAAAAACATGATATTGATTGCATTGTCTAGGATGACTAATTCTGGGTGGGTCCTAATCACATCATACAATGTTGTGGTTCGTTAGCCGAGGATAGAGACATAATACGCCAATGCAACAACGTTCTAGCCGGGGGGTCACCACAATGGCGCTAAGACTGCACGAAAAGTCTTGAAATGTGGATTCTAATGGCCACAGTCTTTAGATACTATGACCAACCTGCTTGATCTTGTGATGCCATTCAAAGTCTAGGTGGAGTGATCCGGAAGGATGAAATGACCCAATCCATGATTCTTTCAACAAAATTATCTGATGTCTGGGGTATTGACTTTATGGGATCCTTCCCATCGTTCTTCGAAAATTGGTACATCCTACTAGTGATAGATTATGTTTCCAATTGGGCATAGGCACAAGCTCTCCCTACAAACAACGTCCGGCTAGTAGCTAAGTTCCTACAAAGCATATTCTCCCATTTTAATGCTCATTGTGCCATCATCAGTGACAACCGTACTAATTTTAAAGGGCAGATTAATAATATACGTAAGCATTTGGGTGTTGATCATCGAGTATCCACCTTGCACCATCCCCAAATGATTGGGCAAGTTGAACTCACTAATCGAGAACTCAAAACAAATCTTGCACTCCCACAATCCACATCACTTAACTGTCAACTATGAGAGTTGACTTTTAGATATAACAAGGCTAATTATCACAAATGGTCACAAACTATTCACTTTGTACAAAACGGTCACAAACCTTTAATTTTTCACATTTAAGTAACATATGTTTGGATTAATAACAAAAAGGTAATTCCGTCCATTTCCATCTAAAAACTGTTATTTCGGTCTAGTCAGCACTGTCATTGACAACCAAAACTTTCTTCTTCTCCTCCATCGCCACCAAACCCAAATCCAAATCCCGACCCTCCCCTTGGGTAAAGCTTCTTGCTTTCCAGCGACCTTTTTCAGGGTCTCCTCCTCACCTCTGCCATCACTTGGTCTCATCTGCTGGGTGTAGTAGTACTTGGCTTTAGTGGCAGGATAACCTAGAAGAAGCTTCAAAATCAGTAAAAGCTGTCATGGCTCTAGCCTGCAAATGGGAATCTAGGCAAGGGAGGGGGGGGGGTGTTGTTGGAGTGGTGGCAGTGAGATGGGTTTTTGGAGTATGAAAGACAAGTAATTACATGAAGGGTGAACCACTGGCATTGGATTTTGTCGTCGGAGGATCCCATTGACGATCTTGGTGGTGGTGGGGTGGTGGGCTTTGGATGTTTGGGAGGTGGGATCCATTCCCATATGAAGTGTGTGGCGTGATATCCAAAAGCAATGTAGTCAAAATCGTGCTTTAAATCTTAAAATCTTACGCTTTTACGATTTCACCAAGATGCTTCTACGCATAATCACAGTTTTTATAACTAATGTAGTTAAAAGCTGCGCTTTAATGCTTAAAAACTTATGATTTTACGCTTCTAGATCACCAAAACACTTCTACGTAGAAACACGCTTTTGACGACATTGTCCTAAAGCTCAGAGTCTAACCCCTCGTCTGTGTGGATAAGATAAGGAGGGGCCTATGATAAAACAGGTTGATTTCCATTCCTACGTCAGTGGGAGATCGGATATCCGACCCGCTTCCAATACAGAATCTTGTAAATTAAGCTCTTCTTTCATTCCTATTGTTCAAATGCTTTCCCTTGGCTTCGGTACTAGCTAGGGTTGTATCATAGTCTTCTCTTAGTCTTTCTCTTTGATTCGAAATGGGAGCTGCACGTTAGCACTTTGCTTTATTACTTTTCCGCCATAAGAGGTATTGACTCTTTACAGTTATAGTGGAATAAGCAGTCTTGGTGCTTTGGCGCGACACTAGTCTGACTGTGCTTTCCTAGCCAAAGGCTATTCAGGATCTTATTTTGCCAGGAATAAGGCCTCCAACACACAGAGTGATGCTTCTGTCTTATTATGAGAGTATTATTATTTTAATTGTTTGGCTTAGTGTTCATATCAAACTCTAAAAATAGTTTTTTTTTTGCAACCAATGCCTCAGGAAATTGGCCGAGATAGATGACAACTTCTTTTTGCATTCTTCCTTACAGAGAAGGTAATCTTCTCTTATGGCCTTCACCTCCAGACCGGCACGGAAGGTGGAAGGTTGACGATGGATGGATTTGGATTTGGTTGGGGATGGGGGTATTGGATGTGATGTTAGAGTCTATTCTAGGTTTTGTTAGGATGGAGCGGGCGAGGGAAGGAGGGAGCCTGTGTGACCTTACATAACCTCGGGTGGGTGGATATAGAATTAGGGTTTTTGGTTGGGTTACCAGTTCAATTGGATTTGGTCCTTAATTTTTTATTAATATCTTAATAACGTGGCTTGTTGACTTGACCGAAACAATGGATTTTTGGATGGAGATGGACAAAATTACCCTTTTGTTATTAGTCCAAACATATGTTACTGAAACGTGCATAATTAAATGTTTGTGACCGTTTTATACAAAGTGAATAGTTTTGTTAGCATTTATGAGAGCATTCACATCAATGAAATTGAAAAACTAATTTCATATGATTTTTATATTTTCATTTCAAACTTTATGCAATCCAACTCACTTTTATTTCATTGTTCATACATCAATGCAATTCACTTGCAATTGCATATATGTGAGTTTAAATGATTTTATAATTATAAAATAAATAAATCAAGAGAGAGAGAAAAATATATTTTTTCCCTACGTGGCTTGCATTTTAGATTTCATTTAATGCAAGCTTGCATATTTGCAATTGCCCACTACATTGGTGCAATTCCTTTTGCAATTGCATATTGGTTGTCATGTAGGATTTGCAATTGAGCAAATACCATTGATGTAGACGCTGTGATAATTAGCACATAAAGTAATAGAATTTAGATAGCCAATGACCACTGTGGAGCGAAAAATGTAAAGCAAGTCAGAATTAATGAAATAAACTTTGTTAGTGACAAATATGAAACATTTTTATGAATTAAGTGACCAAATGTCCAATTTACCCAATAAAATTTAGTAACATGTTTGCTAGCATTCAAGGTTGTCAACTTGGTTTAGCCCATTAGTCCAGCCGAGCAAGTGGGTTGAGAGTTAATGGTCTGACCGCTTTAGTCCGAATATATGAAAAAATATTATATTGTTCATACGTTTATAAATTATATCCGATCTTATATAATGTATGAGTAATAACATATAACATTACACTAAAATAACAAGTTGTACTTGGATCTAACATATAGTAAAAATTCGTACACACTTATATAACATTAATTTTCAAATTTCAACTTAGAATTCCCCAGACAGGGTTAGGCGAAAAGGAAAACCGAAAAAGTCACATTTCACAAACCGAAGAGAAAACGACTCTCTGTAACCTCTAACCCGATAACCTTAGACCAAGTCCAAAGCAAAACCCCAAATTTGGGGATTGATCCCCATTTTCCTTTATTTTGCTCCAACGCTTCAATCTTCATATTTGGGGATCCTAATTTTTCCAGTTTTTTCATTAACTTAAAAATCTAATTATTGAAGTCTTAATATAATTTATTCATGTTAATTTTATATAGTTCGTCATCATTTTTAAATACAAATTTTTTGATAGAATTTTGCTAAATTCCGAGACCAAATTTTTTTGGCAAAAAATTATGGACCTAATTTGCGTTTACACACAACAATTGAAAATGATTAATCTAATTAAACCCCTAACTAATCCCCTAATTAAACTCCAATTAATCCCTAAAATCTTAAAAAGAAAAAGAAAAGCCACGTGGTGGGCTTTGGGGAGTCTCCATATTTGGGGGAACCCCCATTTCCACCCCAAATTTGGGATCCTTTTGGAGATCTCCTCCCAATATAGAGACTCCTCAATTTATAGAGACTCAATTAGAGCTATTTTTTCTCCAAATATAGAGACTCTCCCATTTATAAAGGATCCATTGAAGTTAGCCTTATAGCAGATTAACTCGCAAGTGCATGTGACCCTTTTCTCTCACTGGATCAGGTTCAGCCAATCGGCGAGTCGACCGGCCGGTTGACCATTTTATATTCTTTTCCATGGTTGTCACGTCGGCCGGCGTGCCACCGGTTGTTCCTGGGTCATCCGATATCGGTCATAAAATCGGTGTGACACCACCGGTATGACTAACATGATCGATATACGAATTTCTAAGTAAAATGACCTTATTTTAGTGAATTTAATTGATAAAAATTATTATATTCTTTATTTTATGAGTATAAAAGTTAAATATTGATATTATTTGTTGGATTCAAGTATAAATTTTTAGGTATTGCTGATAAATTTCATGTTTAAATATGAGTATTTATAATTTTATTTGTAATATTGACGGCATGAAGTGACACAAACCGGTATGTGCCACCGGTCGAACCATTACACTTGCTAAACCGACACACTAACATAAATCGGTTTGACAAACTTGTTCTTTTCCCTCTCGTGTGCCGCTTGTGTGAGACTGTCAGACTGACCTTGCTCCACTTCTTCCTTCCCGCCTCGCTTTTCCCCCTCTCAAAGCCAAACCATAAAGTTCCCCCATCCTTGGCCCTCATTATGACTCTCGCTCTCTCATCGCCGCCATCTTCTCTCACAATCTCACCGTTTCTGTGAGCATTTTCCCGGCCCCTCTGGTTTTCTCTTTGCTCTGCTTGATCGTAGCTACCGCTGATTGCTGCCGGGTGCTTATGTTTTTTTGCTTTCCAAACCCTTCTCTGTCGGTTCATTTGAGCGAACTCCACTCGTCCGTTAGGGTTCTTAGGATTTTGATTTTTTGTTCCCTTTCTCTTTGCTGTTGATTCTGGTTCATCAGAATGATTGGGGTTTTGGGGAGCAGTCGAGCGGCAGCGAAGAAGGGGAAAGCGGGGAACGGTGAAACAACTTCGTATAGGGGTAACTATCGAGGCGCGTTTACGGAGGATTCCGACGACGATGATGACGTTTTGTTATCCGTTCTGTTAAAACGGCAACAGGAGCAAGAGCTGCCTAGTACGATTGAAGAACAGATGCCACGATCCAGTGAAGAATCAGTCACAGAGAAAGTAAATGGAGTTGCTCAAGTTTATGATCTCGACAGCGAATCTGAACCAGAATTGGAGGAAGTGCCTTCGTGTCCTGATCCGGAATTCCACGACTTTGAGAAAGATAGGTCGGAGAATTGTTTGGGCGTTGATCAAATATGGGCTATGTACGATGACTTCGATAAGATGCCTAGATGGTATGGCCGGGTTAGGAAAGTGCTCTCACTTGGGAGTAAGCTTCTCATGACATGGCTGGAGGCTTGCCCAGGTACCAAAGACGGACTAGATAGGCGCGATGAAGCGATGCCCGTTTCGTGTGGTGTTTTCAAGACGGAGGGAGTGGACATTGTGGATCGTGTGTCATTGTCACACCGAATGGACTGCTCGAGGGGCAAAGACAAGGATACATATTTCATCTTCCCTAAGAAGGGGGAGACTTGGGCATTGTTCAAGGATTGGGATATTAAATGGGGTTGTGAACCAGAAAAGCATAAGCCACAGCGTACTTATGATTTGGTGGAAGTTATGTCTGATTTTGCGGAGGAAGTTGGTGTTGAAGTTTGTTATTTGTGCAAAGTAGAAGGCTTTGTTAGCATCTATGAGAAATCTTCCCATGAAACCTGCGTCTCCTTCTTCATACTGCCGAACGAAGTACTGTTCAGTTTTTCACATCGGGTTCCGTCTTGCAGAATGACTGGTAGGGAAAAAGAGGGTGTCCCTGCTGGGTCTTTTGAACTCGATACAGCTGCACTGCCTAGTGGTTTTTGTAATGTTGAGCAAGTCGTCAGCATTCGGCCACAGGGAGGGAGTGGTTCATTCATGGCCAAGGAGAAGATTAGTTCTCCGAGGAACTGTGGAACTATTGAATTCAGAGATGCCTTGAAGACATGTCCAATTGGTTTGAGCCAAAGAGGTAGGGGGTTAAGTGCAAGCAAGTTTGTCGACCTTGAGAGCGGTGCTATGCTTATGTCTGCGAGTACCTGGGAGAACCGAGCCCAAACAAGCGATTCGTTACATGAGAGAGTTGAACGTTCAACTAGTCAGACAGGGACAACAATGTCCTTAAAGCGCAAAGTTATCAACGGCGATAGACTTGCTTCTAAGAAACCAAGATCCAAGGATGAAGTTATGAGCCAGAGCTGCATGATTGATGGGGATGAAGACCAAGTGACTGCAGATTATGGTTATGTAAATAAGAAGTTGGATCTTAAACGGACAGAGTTAGCTACACTGGAGGAAAGAGTTAAGGCTTGTAAGATGGAGCTAGAGAGAACCCAAGCGTCCCTTGAGCACAAACAAGGAGAGCTTCTCGAAAAAAATAGCTGTCTGCACTCCATTGAAGAGTTGATTAAAGAAACCAACTTAAAACTTGAGTTGAGAGAGAATCAGTACAAGGCAATAAGAAGGTCTATTGGCCAGTCTTCGGCGGAGCTCCAATCGAAAGAGAGCCAACTCAAATCCCTAGAGCAATCAATCAAAGAATCCATGGAAAAAGAGAAGGCACTGCGTTATGTCAAGGACGAAGTACGGGAAAGTTGTGAAGTTGTTCAGTCGAAAGAGAAGGAACTGAATGAATTAAAAAAGTGTATTGAAGCTTCAAACAAAGTTCTTGATGAGAAGTTAAAGCTACTTGGGGAGATCAAAGCAAAGCTTGCAAATAACACTGGAAAGCTCAAATCAATGGAAGAACATCGAAACCGATTGAAGAAATCAATCATGGACCTTCGGCAAAAACGAGATCATTATCATTCAGTACAAAAGCCCTCCCAGGGGCATTCTGCAGTAGAGTCTAGAACGCATGAAGTAAGCAACACGTTCACTTTTTAGCCATTAAACTAACAAAGTGAAGCCTCCTGATAGTCTGATGCTTTTCCCTTACTAATTGTGGTGTTTCATAAATATGCAGATTTTGCATGAAGGATATGCTACCAACCTCCAGTTGTTCCTGGATAAGCATTTGAGGAAGCACGACGCTTTCCAAGCTGAAGTTTCCATTGCATTGCAGAGAGCACCAGATCCTGCAATGCTGGTCTTAGAAGTAATGCATGAGTTCTATCCTCGTTCAGAAAACCGTGATATGGACTATGATTTATCTGTCACTAGGAGAACCTGCATCACTCTGCTGGAACATTTATTGGGAATCAAACCACATATTAAATCTGATGTAAGAGGACAGGCAATGAAGCTTGCGCGGGACTGGAAGGCAAGAATCACCATGATGAAACCAGCAACTTCTTTGCAGGTTCTGGGCTTTCTGCAACTCGTATCGGCGTTCAGGCTGGCCTCTGATTTTAGTGCAGATGAAGTAAGACAGCTCGTTAGTAGTGGCCTTTCTAAGCAAGGGAATGGGGCTGAAACATGGCAATCTCTTGGGGTCATGGATAACTGAAATGGTAAGCTTCCCTCTTTTCTGCATTTTGTTTGGAACAAATTCGGTTCAGTGAGTTTCTCAATGCTTTTTTTCTCCACTTATTCCGAAGCTCATTGCAGATTCTGGTTTTCTTTTACCTATTTATGTACTATTTTTCTTTTGGAAAAGGTGAACCAGGCAAGTTATCAGAGTGACATAACTGGTAAGCTTCTATCTAGCAGAAGTTCCTTCTGTACACGTTCCACTTCCAATTTACTTGACTTATGTATAAGCCAAGCTTTTTCTATGAAAATGGTGAATCAAGTTCCCTTGTGGTTTTTCATCTGTTTTGCAGGGCTGAAAAGATTCTTTCAGAGTTCCCTAATCTACACAGAACAAAGGTTAGTTCATTCGTCGTCCACTGTGGCTGCAAAATTTTGGAAATGTAGTTACTTCGCTTTGCTCCAGTGTCATGAAAAATGATTGCCAAGGGGGAAACAAGGCTATGGTTGGATTCGGTGGTATGAACTTTTCTCCATGAGCTTTTAGGTCAATAGGGTTGCGTTATAGAAGTTTAGGGGACATTTTTCCGTGAACATGATTCTTGATCAGTATAGTAGGGCAATTAGTTCTAGACTTCAAGCTAGTTCGAATTCTAGCCGAGCAAAATCGCAAGAAAAGGGGTTCAAATTGAGGCATAAACCCTCCTCACTAGCTTTTCTCTTTATATCACTATAAACGTACTCCACTAGCTTTCCTCTTATAACCAATAGGGTAAACTCGTGGGGGGTCTAAAACTCTCATATTACGAGTAATGCTCGAGGATGGTGCAACTCTATTTTCCAGATCAAAATGTTTGGTTATTTTGATTTGGTTAATTGCACCTGCATTGCTCAGGCATTCCGGTTGCTTTGAGAAGTGCTCAATGACTTGCCGAACAGAAAAAGCAGCTAAAACCGAAATATGAATTAGACAATTGCTCAAAACCGAAACCTTTAAGGGCTTATCAAATTTTCGATTTTGAAAATCGATAAGCTCTTAACTTTTTTCAGTTAGAATAAAGTGATATTTCCACTTTCCCCTTCGTAAGTTGCGTTTTTTATCGGCTTATTAACAAGTTTTTGGTTCTAATCGAAACCATAGAGGAACTATTGAATTTTACTCGTTATGGGAAACAAACAAGGCTATTGAACTGGTTTGATTTGGTTAAAATCGAAAATACTGCCACCCCTGCTGGAAAGCTAGTAAATGTCCAAAAAGTGCTTTCACTTTTCATGGGAGTCTGTGTTTGTGAAGCCAAATGAGCAAAAGAGGTTCAATAAAGGAGATATATGACTATGATGAAACCCCGGGGAGGTGAGAGAAGTGATATCCTCAACCTCGTGCTTTGAAAGTGAATTCATTGTCGGCTTGATGACATGGGTGTTTTGGTAGGATTGTAAAATCATATCAAAAGTTGTATCGAATAAGTCATTGTAGGATATTTTGTACTTGTGGTTTAGTCGTAGTTCAATAGTTTTATATCGATAAAATTTTATATCAATTTAATTTTGATAGGCATTCTTTCTGGCCGGATACTAGCTAGTACTATACGGTTTTGCAAACACTAGCTTTGAGGCATTGACATGGTTGCGAAATCGATTTTGGATGTGGCTAAGGGTGGGCAAGTGAAGGATGGGCGTGAGGGTTGAGTTAGAAAGATGACGAGGTAGAAGGGTTGAGGCGCCACATAAGTTGAGGCGCCACGTAAAACGATGGCAACAATGCTGTTTTCTATCATGGACCACCATTTTGGGTGTCGTTTCTTAAGATCGTCTTCTCTTCGATTTTTGGATTAGCAACTGGATCTCATTTTCCCTTCGGTTACTAAGTGGTCCACTAGCTGGTTTGACCTGAAAATGCTCAAAGCACTACCAAAAGTGCATCAAACCAGCAAAAGCAATCCTAGGGTTGCTAAAACACAAGCAATCATAGCACGAATTTAAGATATTATGACGATAATGATATGAAATAAATGTCGTTTGTATCATAATACGAGGGTATACAATAGTCAATTCTACATCTCATCAACCCTCACCACCATGTCCTTGGTCCTATTCCTATAGAGAAACAAAGTATATGCGTCGGTTGATGAGTTAGAGCTTTCACTAGATCCCGCATGGAGCAAGTACCAGTATTGGAGGTGGAGCAAGGAGCACGACTAGAGCTGGAGTCAACCCTTTTATTGCTGACCACTACTAACTCAACCAACACCTATTTTAGCAGCAACAACAAATCCAGTAGTAGAACAACCAGATACTCTGGCAGCAGGAATAACAGTATGACTAGCATATGCTCCTTACCCAGGAGGTCATTAGGCTTAGCGACACCACTCAGCAGTTGATCGAGAACATGTGTGACTACGGGTCACAGCACAACTGGATACCTGGTGATTCATATGAAGACAGATCAACTCCCCGTCGTGATCTTACTCAATCTCTACCTACCACCCATTCAAACTTTTTAATTTCTTTATTTCCTTTTTATGTTTTTTTTTAGTAATTAAACATTTGACTAACTTATTATGGAGTGGAGAGGACTCACCTGACTTAGAGTGAAATCGAACTCAAACGGTGAATCAGCGCCAAAAACGATGGACCAACAAATTCTCTGTTCTGGTTGCCAATTCTTAGGGATTTTTGAGGATCGTGTTTTGAATAATGTTCCACGAGAAACTCGTCCCCATGATCAGCTAGTTCCCTAGCTAGTTGCGCAGGTTGCGAACCTACAGGTTATTTGACTATGTAACTCTTGAGTTTCGTGTGTGTTTATATATTTGGGTGGTTCTATCGTTACTTGGGTAAAATCAAGGATACGGTATACCTTGAGTAAGAAGACACTATCTAGAACTCGAATTGACCGGAGTTTTGTAAACTAAAAGCTAAGAACAATATTTTAAGGGATTGAAACACAGAAGGGAGAAAAACAGTCGATAGATACGAAGACTGGAAAACATTTTGTCTCTAAGAGGCTTAAACGAAAGCAAGAAGTGGGTCTAGAAGGTTGTTAGCAGCCCACTCAAATAAATATGCGAAACCCACTTATTTAAGAGCCCAGTCTCCCTCAGCCCGCTTCAGTTCACTGATACACTCATCTTCTTCCTTGAGAAGCAGAGTATCAGAAGCAGATGAACAAAACAGAGCCGAAGAAGAACCAGAAAGAGAGGAACGCAAGAACCAGCAGTAAAACGAAAGAACACAGGGAATTTTAACGAGGTTCCCAATCTACTGGTCACTCCTCGTCCTAGACTTAGTACTCCACTTATCTCTAGGAGACTCTTTTTTATTTGATTTTTTCCTATCAAGCAGCTTGACACAGACAATGACTCAAAGCAATACAGAAAGAGTTTTCAGCCCGAATCCCTATCCCTGACCCGTTACACCATTAATCCACCAAAACCTATTCCTCTGATGATTAACCCAGATTGTAAGCAGCCCTTTACCACCCTTACAAAAAGTACTAAACAAAGATGCAGAGCTCGACTATATATAGCCATCAACCTATTCTTGACCGTTGTGCTTGAAATCAAACGCAGGACTGAAATGGTAGTTCTGTGCTGTCTCTGACTGTCTTCTTTCCTTTTTGAAAGCAACTCTGATTTGGTAACTTGGTTCTACAATCTCCCCTTAAATTAGAGATTGCCAATTGCCTGCAAAAAGAACACACCTTCTCTCGACCCAACTTATGCATAAAACACTTCCGACAATAAACCAAGCATAAATAACCAAGAGTCAATCACACATAATCCAGAAAACGAACATCAACTCAATCCAAAACAAACATCCAGCAAACCAGAGACCAAACCAAGTATGGCAGATCAAAAGAACAAACAAAGGCGAAACTCCCAAAAACTCCTGAAACAAAAACAAACTGCGTGACGACTAAGGAAGTCTTTTTAAGCGCTGTCGCCATCGTCGTCTGAGCCATATTCCAGCAGAGCCTGGAGAGCTTCGACAAAAGGCTCCAGTCCTGGTTCATCACTGCTGCTGCTGCTATCATCACTGCTACTCACCCAGATGACGGCATCCTCCCCTTCAACAGCATTCTCCCCTTCAATGGCAATCTCCAGTGCATCCAGGACAGCTCCAGCAGGAGGATACATGGAGGGCGTGATGGTGAGGAACGGGGAGAGGTGGATATGAAGCTCGAGGAGTAGAGAGGTGACCAGGGGGCCAAAAGCAAGAGGACCATCGAGGGACGCGTCACTTAAACGCAGAAGACTGCCAAACACCAGATGCGCATAGTCAAGGGGAACTCCATGAACAGCGTGGGATATGATCCAAAGATCCACCGGAAGAACAAGGTCCAAGGAGTCAGCCCGAGGAACAAAGACCCGAGTGATGCAATAATGAAGCAGCCGAAGGGAGGGTAACAGAGAGGTCACAGGCATAATATGGTATGGGGCTGGCAGTACACCGGTGAGCTGATGAAATTCTTCAGCATATTGAAATGCAAACAGCTCCAGCTTAGAGGCGTCAGCCAGAGCCTCTCCAACCCGAGGGATATGAAGTGTATCCGACAGATCATCGAGAGGAAGAGTGAACAGGTGACCAAACACAATCGAGGAGAAAGAACGAGAGGCAAGCCCGGGGGAACTGATGATCTAAAACACAACACCTAACAAAGGCCAAGTGTAACCAATGAAAGGGACTGCAGTATAGTGGCTCAAGTGATAAATATCGAATCCACGGGTCTCTAGAGTTACTATTACTCAGCTTCAGTTTATTATTTAGCAAATCAGATTAAGATGAAAGAACTAAAACTACTCTAGCAAACTACAGTTAAAGTTAATCTAATTACAGGTTGGAAACTCACTTAGGTATGATTCCCCCTAGCCACTAGCCAGATTAATGATTGATGATCTCTAACCTGTTTCACTTTCATTCACAATGCGGAGAATCCTTGACTAGACCTTGAGTCTCGACTAAAGGAACAAGGCCCTCTTGAGTCAATTGCCTAGAGGGACGTATCCTTCTCTAGAACAACTGATCAAGGCGTTCTGAACTAGACTCCCTCTATCGAAATAGGTTCTCAATCGATACAAAGCAGTGAATCAACCCTCGACTAAAGCAATCGATCCACTACTATCAATCTATGGTGCTCTATTGACCTAATCAGGTATTTCCTCTCATAGGATCAAAGCAGAATCAATAATCTCGACTAAAGCAGAATTGAATCATGAAAACATGCATAGATTGAATATGAACTCAAGATTATCAAGTCAGAGTACTCATACAATCATCCAATCAAACAAACATAGCTAGGGTTCCTCAAAACCTAAGTGAAGGGAAGTTACTCCATAGAGAAGAGAGAGACTGCAGTAAGAATCTTCAGATGATCAGTCTTCAAGTTCGGGCTTGTTCCTCAAGCTTCCAAGGCGAAGAAATCCTCCAACTCCACTCCAAGAATGCCCTCAAATCGCCCTCTCTCTCTTTGGTTCGTCCCTTGGGTGTTTGGGATCCAAAACCCAGCTCTCTCCTGAATTGTGGCTGAAAATCTGCTTAAAAGCATCAGTGGCCAAAGCACGGTCGAGGGCACGGCCGTGCTTTGCCTGACTCCGCCCGTGTCTCGGCCAGGGCTTAATTACACGGCCAGCAAGTGGGTTAAACACGGCCGTGCTTTGGTGGAACACGGCCGTGCTTCGGTGCCCGTGTTTGCAGCTGAATTGGCCAAACTGAATTTGCTCTCGGCATAAAAAGCACGGCCAGTAGTACACGGCCGTGTAATGCCTTGGGTCTGCCTGTGTTTTGGCTCCAGCTCACCGAAATGACTTCCGAATGCCCCGAAACTCGCGGTTAGCCTTCCCTTTAACGCCTAGGACCTGAAACATGACAAAATAGCACAACCCGGCGTAAAATAGGCCAAAACACACGACTATACTCCTCAAACGGATAAGAACTAGGGGCGCAAACATGTGCATTTACATCGTTATCAGGAACGAAAGTTCGAAAAGAAGTAACGAACCAAATCCGGGCAGACCAAGGACGAAAAAGGGTGATCGAGTAGAAACTCCCAACCCAAGTTTTGAATAAACATATGCACATCAAGCCCCAGTTCCAATAGTTCAGGAAAGGGAACATGATATGAGGCCAGAAACGGACGAGAAGCAAAACTTTGGAGATGGCGATGGTAGTTAGTGGGAATAGGCTCGAAAAAGAGAGTGTCGGTAAAGGTGATTGCAAACACCATTCTGAAAGGATGGTCGGAGACTACTGGACAAGGGATGAAGAGAGAGGGAGGGCCACGAACAGGGTTAAATACTAGAGAACAAGTCAGAACAAGGAAAGACTATAAATGCAGCAGATCAAGGAAGATAGACAAAAATGCAGAAAAAATCACAAATTGAAATCACGACACAAGAGCACGACACAAACAGAAAGAAAAATAAAATTAGAAAAGGAAGGCAGAAGCAATACTTACCTCCCTATAATCTCGATCAGAGATGATAAAGATCTCAGCCCGATTTCAAGGCACAAAAAGGTAAAACGATTAGCAGCTAAAGGTTTGGTAAAAAGATCTGCCAATTGGAACTAAGTGGGAATGTATTGCAAGGAAACTAAATTGTCCTGAACAAGGTCTCGAATAAAATGATATTTTACCTCTATATGCTTTGTTCGAGAGTGTTGGACCGGGTTTTTAGTCATACTAATGGCACTAGTGTTATCACAGAATAGAGGAATGTTAGAACTAGCTTGCCCATAGTCAGTTAACTGATTTTTGAGCCACAGCAACTGAGTACATGAGCTCCCAGCTGCAATGTACTCTGCCTCTGCTGTTGACAGAGCAACAATACCCTGTTTCTTGCAGGACCAAGAAACAAGAGAGAGACCGACAAAGTGACAACTACCAGTGGTACTTCTACGATCAGTGAGACTTCCAGCAAAATCGGAGTCACAATATCCCATAAGATCAAACAATTCTTGCTGGCTATACCATAGACCTACATCAGATGTACCTTTAACATATCTAAAGATGCGTTTAACAGCAGTGAGATGACTTTCTTTAGGTTGACATTGAAAATGAGCACATAAGCGCACACTATACTGAATATCTGGTCTGCTAGCAGTTAAGTAAAGAAGAGAGCTGATCATGCCTCGATAGAGGGATTCATCTACTGGAATTCCAGCTTCATCCTTATCCAGTTTAACATTAGTCGGCATAGGTGTGGGACTTGTATTTAGGGCAGTCATATTGAATTTACTTAGCATACTAGAGATGTATTTAGATTGATTAATGAAAATCCCATAAGGAGTTTGCTTGACTTGCAGGCCTAAGAAGAATTTCAATTCTCCCATCATGCTCATCTCAAACACGTTTTTCATTGACTCACAGAAATCAGAGCATAGTTTTTCATTAGTTGACCCAAACACGATGTCGTCAACATAAATTTGAACTAGTAAAAGATCATCTGAAACCTTTTTAATAAACAGAGTTTTATCAACAGCCCCTTGCACGAAATGTTCTTACTTAAGAAACATAGTCAAACGTTCATACCATGCTCGAGGAGCCTGTTTAAGGCCATACAGAGCTTTATTAAGTTTAAAAACGTGATCAGGGAACTGATGATCTAAGAAACTAGGAGGTTGTTCAACGTAAACATCTTCTTGAATAACTCCATTTAAAAAAGCACTTTTAACATCCATCTGGAAAAGCTTAAATTTCATATAACTTGCGAAGGCACATAACAATCGGATTGATTCAAGACGAGCCACATGAGCAAAAGTTTCGTCGTAATCAATTAATTCTTCTTGCAAGTAACCTTGAGCCACTAATCTGGCTTTGTTACGAATAATAATGCCTTTTTCGTTTGATTTATTTCGAAAACCCCATTTAGTTCCTAACACATTGGTATTAATAGGACGTGGAACCAAATCCCAAACATGCAAGTAATCAAATTGATTTAGCTCTTCTACCATGGCAATGGACCAACCATCATCTTTTAGAGCTTCTCTATAGTTCTTAGGTTCTACTTGAGAAATATAGGCATACTGACCTGGAGTATATTTGTTTCCACGAGTTTGAATTCCAGCATTGGCATCTCCTATGATTTGTTCTGTTGGATGACGCTTTTGAATGTGTGGTGGAGCTGCAGGCTGAGTTTGCTCTGTATTTGTTGTGTTGACACTGTCTAATTGAGCATTAACCAGTGGTTGAGGATCTTGTTCTGGGGATGCTTGCAGGTTATTTTGCTTTTCTTGAGAGTTACCAGCAGCCACCCCTTCATCTTCTATCTCTCTCGTTAGTTCCAGTAGGTCAAATGACATTATTTCCTGTTCAGAGAACTCGACAACAGCATTAGCATCATTGAATTTAACATGAACCGACTCTTCCACCTTCTTAGTTCGCTTGTTATAGATACGGTAAGCCTGTCCTTTAATGGAATAACCCAGAAACACAGCCTCATCAGACTTGGCATCAAATTTGCCTAGATACTCCTTAGTGTTGAGAACAAAACAAGGACACCCAAACGGATGGAAATAGCCAATATTAGGTGCTTTGTTTTTGTAAATCTAAAAGGAGTTTTCATTAAACCTTTTCGAACAAGCACACGATTTAAGATGTAACAGGCAATGCAGTCAAAATCGCGCTTTAAAACTTAAAAACTTACGATTTTACGCTTTTAGGTCACCAAAACGCTTTCGTTTCCATCTAAAAACTTAAGTATATAAAATCGGACTAAATTGCGCTTTAAAGTTTAAAAACTTAAGGTTTTACGCTTCTAGTTCACCAAAACGCTTTACGTTTTTACGCTTTTAGTTCACTAAATGATTATTCTTTTCATGAAATTAATTATAAAAAGTATATTTTAAAAGTAAATCACCAACAATATGATACATTTGAGATTAGAATATACATATCAGGTACTTGGATGCATTCTCAACTTTAATAGCGTAATCTAATTCACCTGCTAGACTTTTCCCAAATTCATTAGCATAGAAGGAAAAGTGGTTTATTGTTAAAATTTATGTTTACGAACTTATTATTAAGATGCTATAAGTTGCTCTACTTTAAGCATGAGTTGCATGTATTTATTAACTTATCTAAATTCTGTGCATTCATATTTTATATAGTATATGTCCTATTTAATAGATTTTTAATTATTTTTCAGTATGCGTAAAAACTTACGCTTTTACGCTTTGATACTACGCTTTACGATTTTACCCCTTTTTCGCTACTAGGTAGAATCGCGCTTTTGACTGCATTGGTACTAGGTAGAATCGCGCTTTTGAATGCCATGAAAGCTTCCTCATCTGCTGAATTTTCCTCTACTTCTGAGTCGTAGTCACTCCAGGAGGCCTTCATCGCCTTTTCCTTGGCCTTCAAGGTCAATGAACAATTCGCTCGAATGTGTCCAGTTTTACCACACTTGTAACAGGCCTGTGGTTCTTTTTCCTGCGCACCTGTCTCAAATCTTCTGGTCTGCTGGTAAGGCAGCCTTGCTTGAGAGAAGTTATTAGAATAATCATGCCCTTGTTTACGAGGTTCATCAGTTTTTAGTTTTCTTTCATTTTTATATTTCAGCATACGATGAAATCTCTTGTTGACAAGAGCAAATTCTCTATCAAACTCTGACTCAGAATCACTTTCAGACTTCTGAGCAATAACTTTGGATTTGAAAGCCAAAATTTTCTTTCTCTTATCATCATCCTGATTCACCTGTTTAATCACATTTTCGTGACTAAGCAAGGATCCAATCAACTCATTTATAGGTAAATTTGCTAGATTTTTAGCTTCCGCGATAGTAGTACGCTTGGGAGGCCATTCCTTAGGCAACGACCTAAGAATTTTCCTATTAAGATCTTTAGTTTGAAACACTCTTCCTAGACCCTTCAACTTATTGATCAGCTCAGTGAATCTTGATTACATTTCATGAATACTCTCATTATTCAGCATACCAAAGGCTTCATATTCATGAACTAATAAATCAATTCGAGATTCCCTAATATTGGATGTACCTTCATACGTGCTTTCCAGTGCCATTCAGATTTTCCTGGCTGTCTCACAGTTCTCAACTTGATCTGCTTCGTCTGGATTCATGGCTGATTGGAGCACATGCAACGCCCGTTGATTCAGCTGTGCACTTTTCTTTTGTGCTGCCGACCACAGATGCTGCTCTTCCACTTTAGCATTGATCGGCCCATCCTGCACTATCAACCACAAGTCTTCGTCAACACCCCACATGAATTGTTTCATCCTCTTCTTCCACGCGGTATAATTTGAACCAGTGAAGATTGGAGGATGATTTAATGCCGCTTGGCCGAAAGAAGAAGAGGCCATTTGATCTTTGCCTTGGCAGGAATTACCTTCGTCAAGAACCAGGCTCTGATACCAATTGTAAACTAAAAGCTAAGAACAATATTCTAGGGATAGAAACACAGAAGGGAGAAGAACAGTCGATAGATACGAAGACTGGAAAACAGTTTGTCTCTAAGAGGCTTAAACGAAAGCAAGAAGTGGGCCTAGAAGGTTGTTAGCAGCCCACTCAAATAAATATGCGAAACCCACTGATTTAAGAGCCCAGTCTCCCTCAGCCCGCTTCAGTTCACTGATACACTCATCTTCTTCCTTGAGAAGCAGAGTATCAGAAGCAGATGAACAAAACAGAGCCGAAGAAGAACCAGAAAGAGAGGAACGCAAGAACCAGCAGTAAAACGAAAGAACACAGGGAATTTTAACGAGGTTCCCAATCTACTGGTCACTCCTCGTCCTAGACTCAGTACTTCACTGATGTCTAGGAGACTCTTTTTTATTTGATTTTTTCCTATCAAGCAGCTTGACACAGACAATGACTCAAAGCAATACAGAAAGAGTTTTCAGTCCGGATCCCTATCGCTGACCCGTTACACCATTCATCCACCAGAACCTATTCCTCTTATGATTAACCCAGATTGTGAGCAGCCCTTTACCACCCTTACAAAAAGTACTAAACAAAGATGCAGAGCTCGACTATATATAGCCATCAGCCTATTCTTGACCGTTGTGCTTGAAATCAAACGCATGACTGAAATGGTAGTTTCTGTGCTGTCTCTGGCTGTCTTCTTTCCTTTTTGAAAGCAACTCTGATTTGGTAACTTGGTTCTACAAGTTTGACATATGCTACTATTCTCAAACCCTTATAGATTAAAATATAGGTCTTAATTCTAGAAATCTCATACACTAAGATCAATTTAATTAGAAAAAAATCGACGGTTATGATTCGTCGATACACAAGGTTCACTCGTCAAGGGTTAGGGTATAGTATAATGACCAAAAAATCGATTAATACAAGGTTTAGATAGCGTATTCTTACTTAGGGTATGTCGTACCCTAGATTTTACACAAGGTACGATAGAAGCCACCACATATATATGGTTCAGGCTAGCATACTCTTGTATTCACACTACCGTAAGCAGTCGAATTTTAGTATTTATAGCACGAATAAATAAGAGTTCGAGGCATGATACTATACCCTAACCGTAATGGGTAAACCTCGGTCCCCAATTCTCTAACCCGAGCCACAAGATTCATTTAATAAAAATTTTATAACCGACAGTTCTGATTCAGCGAAATATATTGAAGTGCAAATAACAAGTGTGGCTTGGTTTAGAGAATTAGGGACCGGGGTTCACTCATCAGAGATTATGGTATAGTATCAAGCCCAAAACTTCAGTTAATTCGTGCTCTAAATAGTAAAACTCAACGGGCGTATAATGTGCGACTGATGTATGCTAGTCTGAACTATATATATAGGTGACTACCTCGGTGCACTCACAAAAATGAGTGCTTTAAATTCACCCATTTCAAAAACTAGTCTTCAGGTGTCGTATTTTGAATTATAATTTATAGAATTAGTGTAATATGATGATATAACATATAATAACAACTAATTAATGGATTTTTAATTTTATCCCTAAACCCCAAATTGTAAACCCTAACCCTAACCCTAAATCACTAAACTCTAAATCCTTCAAATTAAAGTAAATCTTGAATGATTTTTGTGCAAATTCATGTGCTTTATTGTTCATCACATAATAAGTGATGATTGACATCATTTTGACATTAATCGCATGTTTAAAATGACGGTTATGAAGCGAGTGCATTGAATGCACCTAAAAAAGTGAGTACACTGAATATGCTACCCAATTTACCTGAAGCAATGTGTTGCTTGGGAATGGTGGTCTTGGGGAGGATAGTTTTAGCCATGAACATGATTCCTGGTTGGTTTGATGGAATAAATGGAACAACCCATTTGTGAAGCCATGTAACGTTTGGAATGGTGGTTTGAATTTTGAGATAATGGCAATGCTTTGCCACGACAAATTTGCCGCCATGCCCGCTCATGAAGCGATGCAATGCATGGAAAAGGTGTTGTAATCACTATAAATATGATGCATATAGTGTGATTGGCGAGATAGACATAAAAAAAATCATTCTCTTTTTACTATTAAACTTTTAAGTATGTTTTACCGTTCTTGAGTCTGGAACCTAATGTGGTGATAGTTTTATACTACGAAGAAAGTTCATGTAACCCAAGATTTTGTAGAGGGTGGAAATATTTTTTTTATGGGAAGTGAACGTGGTTCATGACTCTATCATAATCCTGGTCACCCGATCTCGGACTATCGTATGTGTGCCCTCGTCCCAAAAGTCCCAACTATGTACAAAATAATTTTCGATACGATTAATGGCTCGAACCGCTCTTTACAAGAAACCGGTTCCGATCTATAGAATTATGAGAATGTTCGATGATGAGATTTTCATCGATGGCAGTACTAGATGGGTTTTCTTCGTACTAGTATCATGGTGTATCCATATCCGGAAGGTAACTTGGAAGAGTGATGATTCGAAGATGAGGAAGTAGGAAAATGCTTCGTATTATGGAGAAATAGAAGAATGAAAATTGCCTTCGAGTAGGTCACATACTCGATTGTTAATTTGTCTATTTCTCTATTCGACGTATTTGAAGTCCTAGACAAATTTGGATTTGTGTAGTGGTTTTGTCTAAGTGATTTATGTTAAACCAAAAAGACAAAATATATATACAATTTATGATGATTCTGGTAAAAGAGTCATCATACATTTGTATGTATATGACATGCTTATCTTTGGTACTAATAAAAGATTAGTGAACTTTGATAAAAGTTGTTATCTAAATTCTCCATATAGGACATGGGGAGGCAAATGGGATTTTGTGTATTAAATCAAGCAGAACAAACAAGTATATCCCTTCTCTCAATTTTTTTGCACCGAGAAGGTGCTTGCTAAATTCCATAGTGGAAATTGTCGTGAGTTAAAAATCCTAATTGATCAAAGTATGGAACTTATGGTTAATACTGGCCAACCAGCTTTATAACTGGAGTATTTCATGTTAATTGGGTGCTTGATGTATACAATGACTTGCATAAAACCATATATCGCGTTGCGGTATGACCATTAAGGTGGTGTTTGAGTAATCCTAGTGCTCATCATTTGGCATGAAATGAGTCCTGTACCAGGATATCTCTAAGGCACAGTGCATTATGCATTGACATATAGTGGGTTCCATCTATTTTGGGAGGATACATTGATGCTAGTTGATTTCTAATGTTGAAGATCATACTTTATCATCGGGGGAGGTACCATCTCTTGGACCTCTAAAAAAACAAACTTGCATCATTAGTTTCACTATGGAGTCAAATTGTGTGATGGTTGAGAGATTTTGTTTATGATATTCTTTCATGGCTTAAACAAATCTCATTTTCTTACCATCTTTTTGTAGTGATAGTAATTTGGCTAAAACGTGGTCATGTCAGAGTTATTCACGCTAAAATCTATGAATTGATCACTCATAGATTTGTGTATGAACGAGTATGATCGGACTAGAGATAATTTAGTTGATCATTTGACGAAATGATTAAACTAGTGACTTGGTGGTTGACAAGTCTCTACTGTCACACTAGAAAGTGGCAAAGTGTAACCACCTACTAATGTGTAATATAGCGGGTTCAGTTCTAAATGTCAACCAGAGTCCTAAGTGTGATGACCAGTGTTATTAAAGCCGAGCCGAGCCGCTCGGACCGAACGGTAAAACCGACACACCGGTAACAAAACCGGCTCGGAACAGTCTCAAAGCCGCTCCGATTTTATGTAGCGGTTGACAAGCTGCCGAGGCGGTTAATTGCTCGAGCCGATCAAGCCGCTCCTCCGGTTTTTGCCATTCAGCAGTTAAATTTAATTAAAAAAAATTGCAGAAAATTGAAATAAACCAAAAACGTCGTGCTCTCATACTGAATCATTATTTCCATTTCACAATTTCGAAGGAAAGAGAAGAGCTCTGATTAAGAAATGTCCACTATTATACTGATAACGTTTATTAGGTACCAGTTCTCTAACGATTTTTGAACGGTCTAATGCCGGTTGGACCACTAAAGTGCGAGTCGTTCGCATTACAGTGTCATGCTCCGGTTCGGTTATGACAACATTGGTGATGACTACTCCGTGAAAATCTTATTATTTAGCGGTTCAAGTGTAGTGAAGGTTTAACTAAACTAGCAAGCAAAAACAGTGAAAGTTGTGCTCAAAGTTGAGAAAGGTCACCCAGATATGGTTCCCCCTAGACTGCAGTTAAGCCAGGTTGTAATTCACCAAGTTCAAGTTCAATGATAGTTATACTGCGGGAGCTTCTTAAACAGTCTGCAGTCTCGACTAAAGGTATCCAGACTCTCTGAATCTGAGTTCCCAGCGGGCGACTAACCTCAACCGGAGTAAACAGATTGAGGCCCTAACGAACCAAACCTCCTCTACAGGAGTAAATCCGGTACAGAATAGTGAATTGACTCCTCGGCTGAAGTCGTCAATTCACTATCTTCAATCAATGGTGCTCTATCAACCTAGGCAGATATTCTCTTTCTAGGTCAAAGCAGAAATAAAAGGAATTTGATCAAGATTCATGTCATTCAGGAAGTCAAACCTCAATTGAATATAATCAACATCAATGAATTCGTACTTGGGTTCATACAATCAGACCTAACATATAAATCTAAGGTTCTTCATACCCAAGTGAGTGAGAGAGTTTACTCCATAGAGAGAGAAGGGAAATCTAGCTCAGATGAGGAAACCATCCTATGAAGGATAGGATTCTGCTTCTGGCAATCAATCGACACTTCTCCAAGTTTAAGCCGAGCTCCAATGGTGATGAAGATCGATCTAGGGCACTTTGAGAATCTGGTTCGTCACTCTCTCTCTCTCTCTCTCTCTCTCTCTCTCTCTAGGTATCAGCTTTCTATCTCTCAAATTCGGAACCCTTCAAAAATTGGTCTTCTTTCCCTTAAAAAGCAGCAGGTCACGATCCCCGGCCATAATACCCGGTCGGGTATTTCAGGTGCCCGGCCGGGGATTTCAAAACGATGCCCAGCGGCTAGGGGGTTAATACCCGATCGAGGTCCAGAATACCCAATCGGGTATTTTGGCTCCCCGGTCGGGACCCCTTCTGCCTTTTTGGCGTCCAAAACACGAATCCCCGGCCTCTCTTTGCATTTTACCCGACCGGGTATTTTAACTCATGGCCGAGTATTTTGCTCTTCCAGCGCCCTTCACTCCAGTGCCCTCCTTTTTGACCCGAAACTCGTTTCCTCACCTTCACCTCAACACCAAATCCTGAAATATGACATAAACACACAACCTAGCGTGAAATCAGTTTAAAACACGATAATCGACTCTCAAACGGCTCAAGAATGAATGTATAAACATGTGCAATTAATGGTCTATCAGAGGTCAAGTTTGTGAAAGAGATGGGTTTAAAGTCCATGTAATTTCTGATCATGGGATACCCAATTCCCCTCTAATACAACGTTAGAGACAAAATTCAATGTGAAAAGCTCATTATGAGAAATTGAAGCACGCATGTTGTCATCTCGAGGTATGTGCTTGTTATCTTGCATGAGAGAAAAGGATGAAGTACAAAACTTCTTAATTGAATCTTTAAAAAAGTGTCTTATGCGAGCACAAGAATAAGATATTCAACCTATGTAAGCATGAAATGTAGCCATTTCAAGAACCCAGACTTTGATTTTGGGTGCGCTTATGAGAAGGATTGGACACATGGCGGATAATAGTGTCAAGGCACTTAGAAGTTTGTAAAATTTAAGTGTATATTATCTTTGAATATTCATATGAGTAGATGGGTTCAATCGTTATCAACACCCAAATATTCGAATATTCGTTAAGTGTAATATACTAAGATGAAAATTCACTCGTCACAACATTTTCATTTATGTTTAAGTTTTGTTGCAAGGGTGTTGAAATTTTAGTGAATTCTTAAAACACTAAAATGAGTGAGGAATGTTGGAAATTTGGTCCTACCAATTTGAGGTTGGACAAAGTTGGTTAAATTATTGGGTTAAGTTAATTAAAATAATTAACCTACGGTCCAATAGAATTATGGAACTTTTCAATTCATTTGAATTGGCAACTTCCCATCCCATTTTTCTCCACGTGATTAGGGATGGCAACAAAACCCGAACCCACGGTACCCACCCGACCCAATCCGGTCAACGCGGGTAAAATCCGTGTTGACGGGTTTTGGGCCGGGTTCGGGTTTAAACCCGCTACACTATTCACCGGGTTGGGTTGGGTTGGGTTTGGGTTTAGGTAAACCCGCCCCATGGGTACCCGCCCACACATATAACTACTTTCCCGGTATATTTAATATTCTAAATAATATATCATCTTTAAACAACTAATATTTTTTTATGTTTGTGGAGACATGTATAATTTGTTCTTTCTAATTGTTTAGAATGAAGTTAATATTATGGAGTGGAGAGTGAAGAAACT